GAGAGAGAGAGAGAGAGAGAGAGAGAGAGAGAGAGAGAGAGAGAGAGAGAGAGAGAAGAGAGAGAGAGAGAGAGAGAGACAGAGACAGAGAGAGACAGAGACAGAGACAGAAACAGAAGAGAGAGGTGTGACTGGCCAGTTTTCCTGAAGCTTCCTTGTGGATTAAAGAGGTGATGGATCTGCTCTCCATTTTCTGGAAAGAGGAGGAAGGTCTGTGTTCCTTGATGATAAAAGTTTAGGCTGTTTTAAAGAGTTGCTGAGGTATGAGGCATGAGGTAACCTTGGGACATGGCTACAAACACTTTGGCTATGTCTGTCATAAAAGTAATTCCAATAAATAATGCTAAAAATATCTGGCCAGGAAATTTCATTTAAAAAACTTAATTATTCTTTGTATTGATAGCTGTGCCATAAATATATTTATTATCTATCTATCTATCTATCTATCTATCTATATCTATCTATCCATCTTAATATCAGTGTTCAGCATTGTCCCCTGGTGAGCAATCAGTTATAGGAGAGATGCTCTTGGGACAGTTACTAACTAGTTAATACTTAGATTCCGATTCTAAAGTGTTAACTGGGATAACTGATGTACCAGGAGCTCCCAGATATTCCTTCAGTGGTGACAAGTTTGGATTTTGTCTGACCAAACTTAATTGTCGTACCAAGCTAAATAAAAGTCCCTTTTGAATCTGTTTTTTTCCCCATGTATGTTCATAGGATTTGAGGGGAAAGGATTGTTAAATCATTCGCTGAAATAATGACTAAATTTTGCAGTGAGTAAAATCTTAAGTGTGTACATATCGCCACCAAGTGGGAGAGAATAGCATTGCTTGTCAGTTAAAAGATGCTAAAAAAGGAGAAAGAAAAAAGGCAACATTGTTTAATAGGACTGAGTAGCTGTTAAAAGTCAGTTTCAAACACAGAAATGCATTTTAATTGTTGTTTAATTATTATATGGGCTTTTATTCCATAGACTATTGGAAAGTCTTTGTTTTTATTGTATTCTTGAAAAACTTTCAAGGTAGAATCCTGATCAGTGTTTTTTTGTTTGTTTGTTTTTATTTTTTAATTTTTGTCAGGATGTATCCCTATAGCATTGGCTATGCTGTTCTGGAATTCACTGAATAAACTAGGCTGGCCTCAAACTCACAGAAATCTGTCTTCCTTGCCTGTGCGTGCTGGATTTAAAGGCATGTACCACAAATGCCTGGTTTTGATCAGTTTTATATAGAGAGCTTTTAGTCTGTTTGACTAATTTTATGCTGTTAATTTCCTGTGTTTTTACTGTACTTCCATGAATATTCTAAATATTCATTCCTTTATCATTTCTGTGTGCATATAGCCTTCAGATGTGAAATAAAAGTGCATTTTTGGATAATATATTCATTATTAATAATATTAAATCATTCAGATTTGATAATACCAATTCATCAAGTAGTTTTACTATTCAGTGTCCAGTAAAATATTAACATGGGATGAAGTTCCTGAGAGTGTATTAGCCTAGGAACCTGAGATGTGTTATGCTATGCGTTTGGAAGCCACTGCCATTAAAAGCCTGAAAGATCCCTGGTATAGAAGTAAACGGAACCAATTACAAAACATGCCCAGCTAGTATAAGCACCTCTTCAGATTTGGAGTGACACGGACCTGGGCCGTGACCTTGATATCCTAGGTCCCAAGTGTGGGCATGCAAGCATGAAAGCTCCTCTTGTTTTGTGTTGCTTGATTAGGTATTATAGAACACCACAGAGACTTCCTACTTTACTCCACACTCTTTCCTCTCCAGGACACACTTGGGCTACTCACCGTTTTTTGCCCCAACTTCCTTTCCATGGTTGATCCCCTTCTAACCAGCCACTGCTTCTGTGCTTTGTCTTCCTTTATTTTAAATGCTGCAAAGTTACCTCCCTAAGGAAGTTTTCTCCTGGCTGCCTCAGGCAATCCATATTTTAGCCACCTTATCCTGGCTTTATTTTGTAAGTACTTGCTACTAGCTAACAGATTATTTTTATATTAACTTTATACCCATCCGCTGACCCTCCCCTCCCCCAGTGTAAGTTCCGAGTATAAGGATAGTGATTTTGTTTGATTTTCTTGTTATTTTGATTATTAAATTTCTGGTACCTGGGGGTATAATAAGTACTTTAAAAACGAATAAATACTGAATAGTTTTAGCTCACTTATTGTACATTATATGTGTCAGTCACATCGAAAGTCACCTGATCAGGATTGAGAAAAGAAGAAGGTGCCAGTATATTTGTAGGCTGTAAAGTGCATGCTATCCTTGGTTTGCTGAAGAGGAAACAAACCGCTTACCTCCTCACAGACCTGAGACTATGCACAGGCACATATCTTATTTGTGTGTTTGTTTGCATAATTATTTACTTATTTATTTATCAGTCAATCTCTATATAGTTCTGACTATCCTGGAGCTCACTGTGTAGACCGGACTGGCCTCAAACTCACAGATATCTGCCTGCCTCTGCATCTCAAGTGCTGGGATTAATTGTACCACTATGCTTAGCAACACAATTTACTTAGTCTGAGTTTCAGGTAAAATTTGATTCCCAGTATCAGTTGACTAGAAGATGTCAGTGGCCAGTAGGAGGTCTATGTGCTTGGGAAGGTGCTTTTTGGTAACAGAACAGATCTGTTAGTGATCATGAGCTGAAAAAAATTCAGTGTTTTGTTCTTTCATAGTTGAGCAGTGTAAGTTAGTACATATCCACATGCTTTATCATCTTTCCCTGTTGCTTTCTTGCGACTGGAACTTGGCACAGGTAGTTGATGATTGTTACAGTTAGGCTGTTTTGCTTATAGTAGGATTAGCAGAATCAAGAAACACTTTTCTTTCTTTCTTTCTTTCTTTCTTTCTTTCTTTCTTTCTTTCTTTCTTTCTTTCTTTCTTTCTTCCTTCCTTCCTTCCTTCCTTCCTTCCTTCCTTCCTTCCTTCCTTCCTTTCTTTCTTTCTTTCTTTCTTTCTTTTTTAAAGATTTATTTATTTTTTATATATGAGTACATTGTAGCTATCTTCACACACACCAGAAGAGGGCATCAGATCCCATTACAGATGGTTGTGAGCCACCATGTGGTTGCTGGGAATTGAACTCAGGACCTCTGGAAGAGCAATCAGTGCTCTTAACCACTAAGCCATCTCTCCAGCCCAAGAAACACTTTTCTGTATTCAGAATTATACAAAAAGAAATTACCATGAGGGCCTTTTGTTTTAAGAAAGAGGGGAAGGATGTGTGTAAAAGATGCATGTTAACTACATATGTGGTTTATACTATTTGCCTGGTTACTAAATCATTTGAGTTTTCAGGCCTCTTTAAAAAGGGACAGGACACAAACATTTTAAGGTATGTACATATCAGTGGGTATCATTAGGCAAAGGTATATTACGTATCATTGGGCAAGTACATTCTGCCCTACATAAGAGATAAATTCATAGTTCAATTGTTATGTCGAGAGAACTTGGGAAGGTGCTTTTTGGTACACAACAGAACAAATCTGTTAGAGATCATGAGCTGAAAAATTACAGTGTTTTGTTCTTTCGGTCCAAGATGTTTCTCAGTCCTGAAAGCAGGTGTTCAGTGGCTAAGGTACATAAAACTTGGACTCTTTGTAGAACTCATCAAGCAATCTGTCTTGTCTTTCCCTAAGTTGCCTTACTTGGGGTGTTACTTTAATGTTATTTTCCAGGTGAATTGCCAAATAAAGTTAAATGTAATATAACAAGAATAGCATTAAAATTAATTATGCTGTTGTCTTGACTAGAACTTAGTAATCACAGATTCTGTAGTGATCTATTATTATGTTTTGTGTTTTCTTTGCCAAATTCCAGTAGAGTAGTTCAGAGCCTTGAGCTGTGAGAATTTGAAGTTCTGTTTAAAGCAGGACTAATCTAACTGATGGTATAAGTCCTCAGATTTTATTAAAACAGATAAAGTCTTTATTTCAGTCCTTTTGACATGATGGTTTGCTTTATAAGTGACCAAAATGCTTTGTTAGGAACCAATTTAGTACATTGAAATATGATTTTGAATTCATATATTAAAAAAACAGAAGTATGATCTTGAATTTAATTTTTTTCTGCCATTTTTTTTTTCAGATTTTTTTGCCCTCCTCCTTGTGTGTATCTTATGGGCAGTGGTTGGAAGAAAAAAAAAGAACAAATGGAACGAGATGGTTGTTCTGAACAAGAGTCTCAACCCTGCGCATTTATTGGAATAGGAAATAGTGACCAAGAAATGCAGCAGCTGAACTTGGAAGGGAAGGTAAATTCAAAATGTACATTCTACATTCATTCTTGCAGTATTTATTTTAGGGTTTTTTCACACCAGTGTTTATTGCTCTTATTTCTTTAAGTGCCTTTAACAGCGACTGTTTTAATGTGTATATCAGAATCACAAGTATACCTTCAGGACAGCTATGGCCTGGTGACTCTTAGTGTGTGTGTTGGCATTTAAAGCACCAGGAGGCGTCTCCAGCTTGCAAGCTATCTTAGTTATAAGTCATATTTCTATTGGGATACTAATCTTTCATTTTCTGCCGGGCAGTATTGTAATACTCAGATAGTAATGAAAATGCATCTCTCAGCTTTGGTTTATTCTGTCCTCTTACCTTCATCCCCTGCTAGGAAGTAGCTGCTGACACAGGATAGAGCATGGGTCTGGGCATAGTGGCCTTGGCTAACCAACACCAGTCCAGAACACAAGTTACACCGAGAATGCTCTGTCTACTGGCTTTCTGACAGTTTTGTGAATTTAGAAAGCAGTAACAGTCAAGTATACTACTTTAGTTCAAGAGAACAGTTTGTTCATTTATTATACTTACTAATTCAGTATTTTCTTGTAATATTAAAATTTTGAAAATAATTCTGATTTCATTGACTACCTAGCATCCAAAAGCTATTTTCTTATTTGGTAACTTTTAGTTGGCTGCTTTGATATTTATGTTTTGTATTTGGCCCTAGGATAGGAGTGTTAAGGGTGGTGAGCTAGGAGTTAGCATTCTTAATCACATTTAGTCATGTGTAAGAAGAAAGACCTTAAACCTAACCTTCAAATATGGATATTTGTCATTAGGTCTTTATAGTTTTTAGTTAGTAACGTATGTTGACCGTGGATTTTAGATAAGGTTTGGTGTAACATTTATTACAGTAGTGAGTGTTTGTTGTAAAAGAGAGTAGAGCAGTAAACCATTTTAAATTATGACCCTTGAATGGGTCAATTTATTCTCCTGTGAAAATAATACTGGAGTGACATACAGCACACTGCACATCTAGACATTCAGTTCTTTAATGAGAAGATGGCCGGTTAATAAAAAAAAAAGTTAGGGATCTAGGGATCATTATGTGTAACTGTGTTGGCTGAACTTTATTCTCATTTTAGCCAGTTCTAGCTTTCAGACATTTACCTTCCAATGAAGTAATACTGCACCCAATCACTAGCATTATTGATTGTTCCTCCCCAGATCCTGGTACTAAGCTCCTTAGCGGCTATCTCCACACGAAGTCCTTCCTTTTGTCCTATGTTAAACCTAATGCATAAGTCCTGGACATTGACAGGACACAAGTGCTCATGTGCATGTGAGGAAGAAAAGGACTCCCCAAAGGAGTGTGTTCTCCCTTCCAGCACGTAGGACCTGGGGAGTGATCTGAAAGCTTGGCATCAAGTGTGCCTTTCACTGAGCTATCTCCCAGCCCTTGTTCATGTTGTATATATGCTAGATGCTATTATCTCTTTCTTGATGCAGATGATACCCAATAGTGTTGTGCTCAAAATTAACTGATCTGTTAGGCCTTCCCATTAGAATGTAGTTCCCTTGTTTAGATACAGATCTTAGTTTTGTTCTGTGACTGATTGCTCTAGTACATTGACTTTATCCTGTGTTTCAACGCAGAAGAGACCAAGATTAGCCCTTTAGCTAGTGTTTAAAAAATATGGTGGGCCTATCTATGTATGAATATATGCCATATCTAAGTGTGTAAGAGTACTGCCACTGCAAAGGACTTTATTGTATTTAGCTTTTATTGCTATTATCTTATTTTGCCATCTGCACAACAAGGCCTTTCAAAATTTAGAATGTTCAAGATCACATTTAAATTTTCTTATGTAACTTTGCTATAGAGTCAAACTATTACAGTAATTACTAACAGTCTGTATTGGTAAAATTTTAATAACAAAGCCCTAGAATTCACTAACTACTTTCTAATGTGTGCTACTTGTTCTGTATTTTAAAAGGAACACACAGCAGAAGTAGTTAAAATAAAATTTAGACATCTTTTACCCTGTTTGGTAAAAGAGGTCAGTATCTTGGTTCCTTAGTTGACAGTGATTAAGCAAATAAGGGAAGGTTTAGAACTGTTACCTACAGGTGAAATTGTAGCATTTTAAACATTGTAGCAAATGCATGTTTTCTTTTATACCCTTAAACTTGATTCTTTTGGAGATTTTATGAATAAACCCATTAAACAAAGTTTATCTATTTTTAAAATAATTCTTTAGTATATCCTTAAAAAAATCCAGAACGCTATATGTTCCCATTCAGTCTGACACTGTTTTCCTTAGTTTTATAAGTGGTTACCACCGCATCCAGCTATATAAACAGAAACACTGTATGAGCTAATTTGAAACTGCGACCAATAGGTTTGTTTACATATTTTACCGAATTGTGATAGCCTTCCTACTTTTGTTGCAGATAGTCATCAGTTTTTAACTACAAAAATCAAATAATTGCTATAACATTGAGTGGTGATTCTGTGAAAAGTAAAACTACTTAAAACAAAGAAAGTAAATATGGAGCATAGCATTTTGTTTTGTTTTAAAGTTTATTTATTTATTTATTTAAGTATATGAGTGCTCTGTCTGCCTGTGCACCTGTGTGCCGGAAGAGGCCATCAGATCACACTGTAGTGATTGTGAGCCACCATGTGAGTGCTGGGGATTGAACTCAGGCCAGGACCTCTGCAAGAGTAGACAGTGCTGTTAACTGCTTAGCTGTTTCACCAGCCCCAGGGTTTTGGTTTTTAAAGACCAAGTCCTTAAGTACTGCTTTGTGCACAGCTGGCAGAGCCTGGCTCCTAGATACTTGGATTATTCTCTGTGCAGCTCTTTTGAGTTGACTTAGATGGTGCTCCCAATGGTGCTTTTCCTCTGCTTCCTGTACTAGGTAGACTTGGATTGTCTGGGAAAAAAAAAGATAAGTTGAGGAATTAGAATAATAAATGTACTAGTTTTCTAACCACCCTAAGGGCAGCTTTGTTATTGGTTTTGATGTTCAGCTCCTACAGTTGAACATTGAGGTCGAGATTCAGCACCATCTCCAGAAGGGTCTAGAAGATGCTAGACTTAAGTCCAACTTTCTGAGTTAAATTTCCTCATCTTGGCACCTCAGCTGAGTGTGAGCTGCCATTGCTGACCTTTATCTTAGGAAGAGGCTAGCCTCAGAGCCTGTCATCCATCCCTCATGGTTTGTTCTGAACACTTCTTGAAGAAGATTCCTCTTGGATATCAGTGCTAACAGTTTAGTGGGTGATGCTTCAGAGTGATACCATTCATGTCTGATAAATGTAGCTAAACCATTCTGAGCTGAAGGGTTCCTGCTGTTACCACTTTGTTTTTCTTCCACAGAACTACTGCACAGCCAAAACATTGTACATATCTGATTCAGACAAGAGAAAACACTTCATGTTGTCTGTAAAGATGTTCTATGGCAACAGTGATGACATTGGTGTGTTCCTCAGCAAGCGGATAAAGGTCATCTCCAAACCTTCCAAGAAGAAGCAGTCATTGAAAAATGCTGACTGTACGTATGCTCACATTTCTTTATTTGTTCCCAATTCTCACATTACACCAATGAAACAAACATGTTAAAATTTAAAGGTTGTTCAGCCAGGCAACTTAAAAAATTACTACCACCTGGCAGTAATTTGCTCTTAAGAGTTTGTCAAGATAGCTAAATAAACTGTTGAGGAAACTACTTAAACTACAACTATAAAACCTTATTTTTACCAGAAAAAAAAATCCCTTTTATATTGTCCATATAAGAACTCATTCTGAGCCAGGCAGTGGTGGTGCACGCCTTTAATCCCAGCACTTGGGAGGCAGAGGCAGAGGCAGGCGGATTTCTGAGTTCGAGGCCAGCCTGGTCTACAGAGTGAGTTCCAAGACAGCCAGAACTACACAGAGAAACCCTGTCTCAAACAAAACAAAACAAAACAAAAAAATTAAAGATTGTTCTGTCAGTAGCCAGTTCATTGTTAACTTCTAGTTTTTAGCCTTACTGTGTTTTAAATTTAAGTATAAATGGGTGTTGTCTGGCCTAATGAAGTGATTAAGTCTCAATTATAGTATTCTGAGAATCTCAGTTACTTTATTAGGATTAGAGTGGTTTCTGTTCCCAGGGGCATTTGGGGAAATAGAGGGGTTTTGCTCCTTCTGTCAGAGTGACTAGGTAGGAAGATAATGCTTTGAGCCAGTGATGCTAAGTGTCTTACAGTGCCCAAGATTCTAAAAGCATCAATCCTTTCAGAATGACACAAATACCCACTTAAAAAAGCATTGGAGTGTGCTCTGGGAAAACAGGTAAGACACTAAACTGAATAGCTAAAGGGCTCCAAGGCAGAAACTGCTGTTTCATTGGCAGATTGTTAAACTATCTAGGTTATGTACTGTCTGTGAGTCTACATTTCAACACACTTGAACTTGGTTGTCTGGCTTTCTTCTCTTAAGTTTTTCATTGAATAAACTTTGAAATATATATAAAAGGAAGAAGGCAAGCTGATGCAGCCGTCTCCCCACGGGAGCTGTGTCATGGTTCTGTTCTGTGGTCGCTGTCACCAGCCACGCCTCTTCCCTTTCTAACCACTGCATGTGTGCTTGACAGTCGCCAGCATCCTGCCCTTTCAACTCATTTCTTTAGTAGTGACTGTTAATCCATGGCTTTTGGGTTTTAAGCATCATAGCTCACAAAGTTGACATCCCTTTGGTGTCATTTAATATTTATTCCATAAGTAGATAAATCATATCTCAGCAATGGCTTTTTTTTAATAAACACTGTAATATTTTGTTTCATTTGTAGTCGACGTGTTCAAACATAAAATTAAATGAAACCCATAAGTTTTAGTCTGTGGTAGTTTTTCTATTCTTGTCTCCCTTTGATAACAGTTACTAGTTGAAGAAACTGGGTCATTTTAAATCTGGTGGAATTTCCACATTCTGGGTTTGACTGGTCCCATGTTTCTGTGCCTCAGTTTTTCCATGGCCTGGTGACTAAAGACGTAGAAAATTAGCCAGTCGTTTCGCTGGTTAGAAATCATGGAGCATCTGGTTCCTTCTTTTGTCATGTTGAGACTGTAGTTAAGTTCAACAGTTTGTTTAATTTACTCCTAAGGCTCCTGAGCAACTGTACACCAGTGTTTCGTGACTGTGATTAAGGAACACAGAGTACTGAGTTTCTACTTCTGTTTCTATTTTCCACATTTTAGACAAAGGGTTTATCAATGAAGAACTTCAACATACAACTACTTGATTTAAGTGTAGCCAACAGACAGGTTGGATAAACAGTCGATTGGTTACTAATTTGCAAAATAAGATTTGTATTATTATAATTTGCATTATTGTAATTATATTATAATTTGAAGAATAATATTTCTATTGTATAAATCAATAGTATTTGATAGTGACCAGTGATGTTAGAAAAAGTCATTTCTTAGTCTTTATAGTCAACTGTATAAACTTGTGTACTTTTATGACATGCACACACACACACAAACACACACATATTTTTCCACTCAGTCTTTATTCATGTGTATTTAATACTGTAGGAGGAAAAGCAAACAGAATTATGCAATAAATGGAAACCCTAACTTGAGTAGTGACCCAGGTTTCCAGCCAGTCTTATTTCCTCATAAGCTATCCTTCATTACGGTCTGCTTGCTTTGTACTCATTTTTCGTTTGATGTAATCCCAGACATTTTGCATCCTATGTAAATACTACTGTGTTTCTATAATAAAAAATTGAATGGGAGGCTCTTTTATTTTATTTTTTTAAGTTCTTTGATTTTGTTTGTATTGACAGTTTGTAATGTAAAGAACTTGTTGCATTTTTAGGACATTTTCTTATGTAGATGTATTTTTCACATTTAAAGTACATCTTTATTTTAAAATTATAAATTATAAAACAAACATTATTTTTCATATAATACAATATTGTATGGCATTTTGGAGATAGCAGAATTCCCTAAAATCATAATGCAGTGGCACCGGCTGTCTGCTTTGGTAAATACCCTTCTAGAGACCTTTCTATACGTATTTCACAGGATTGGATGACAGTACGTGGGGACACTCGTGTCTCATGGTTGGCCTTTCCATTTAGTAATATCACAGGAATTTGTGCATACATAATTTAAATGCTTGAGCGTTACTTTAATCAAGTATCTAGCATTAAACATATGTTGTTTTAATTTAAGGTAATGTTTCATCTAATAATCATCAGGACATTAAATGTCCTGTGTCTTGGAAGGATAGTAAATCTGTTTGTAAATCCAGAATCTGTTTGTTATGTGCATTATTGTAAAAAAAAAAAAAAATTATAATTTGCCAAACAAAAGTTCCTTCTTTTGTGGACTCCTTCCCCACCCATTTAAATAGGAATCCTCCTATCTTTGCAGTGTGCATTGCCTCAGGAACAAAGGTGGCATTGTTTAATCGACTTCGGTCTCAGACGGTTAGTACTAGATACCTGCATGTAGAAGGAGGAAATTTCCACGCTAGTTCACAACAGTGGGGAGCATTTTACATTCATCTCTGTGAGTATAAAATGTATATTTGGTATTTTTAGTGTGAAAATAATATATTCTCCTTCTTGGGGTAATAAAACACATGACTATATTTAGTTGCTATTTTCTTAAGCATAAGTTAAATTTTAGAGGATAACAATTTGGTCTGTTTTTCACACCCACTATAGTGGACGATGATGAATCGGAAGGGGAGGAGTTCACAGTTAGAGATGGTTACATCCATTATGGACAGACTGTCAAGCTTGTGTGCTCAGTTACTGGCATGGCACTCCCAAGATTGGTAAGACTTGACTACTTTCATGAATATGAGATAAAAACAATCAAGGAAAGGAAAAATGTAGCTCAGTTTTTATGCTTTTTAATGTGAAAGTGCAGTGTCCCTCTTACTCCTATTAGCTACTGGCTCAATCCAGAAGTGCTCTGAAAGAATTAGTCTATGTTAGAAGCCAATTGGTGATGGCACTCTCCTACACTATTTTAATGAATTTGGTGTGGGTTTCTTTTTTGGTTGTGTATTTGTCATTTGTTTTTTTTATGATGATGCAGATAATAAACTGTATTTTTTTATGTGTGTGTTACCTGCTATATCATATTCAGATATTCAAAGACCAAGCTTTCAATAGCCTAGAAATGCAAGCATAATTCTATTATGTAACTCGAATAAGACGTTTGTTTACAGTTAGGTAGGAGCATTGGTATTTCTTACTTTAGGAACAATGCACAGGATGGGCCTTCTTGTTCATCAGGTAGTGAAACGCTGAGGCCTTATTTTTCCCTTAAGTTGAAACAATTTCAAACTGTGCTTTTCATAAGGTAAGGTTAAAATACATACTCTGTCATAATGGAAATGTGACTAGGTGTGACATGTGAGGGCACTGTAAAGGTCTGTTAGAGCAGACATGGCTTCCAAGTCAGGCGCCTCACAAGCTCTGAAATACTGCGGAGAAGAAATGCATGAGCGTGTTTGTCTTGAAATATGTTAATATGTAATTTAATCCCACTATAATTTTGTGCTCTGACTAGCACACTCAATAGTTGCCTACTGTGGATATTTTCCTATGGTATTTAATTTGTATATTAACAAAAAGATCTTCAGAACCTGCCAATCAAAATATTTCTGTTCATTAGCAGCATTCACAACACTAAACAATTAGAAATACAGACTATCAAGCTTCAAACAAATCATGATGTGTAAGGCAGTTTTAGTCAAGAACTCAGACAGTTCTTGTATGCATTAATAGTTAAAAAGCACTAGTCTAGACAACAAATGACTGCCTGTCCAATTTTTTTAAATGTATTCTTTGAAGAGGTATTATAATACTTTTATACATGTAATGCATGTTTATAAAATATAGAAAGACTTATTTCTAACATTGTTTATGAATGTTTCTTAATGTGTAGGTATAGGACAAATGACTACTGTGTTGTTATGTAGTATATACTATGGACTGTAACAGTGTACAAAATAAAGACTGCATGTGGATGACTGACTTTTTTAAATTGTTGAAATACAGATAATTAGGAAAGTTGATAAGCAGACAGCATTACTGGATGCAGACGACCCTGTATCACAACTCCACAAGTGTGCATTTTATCTTAAGGATACAGAAAGAATGTACTTGTGCCTTTCTCAAGAGAGAATAATCCAGTTTCAGGTATGTTATAAAATGACCACTGAAATCCAAACTGTACAAATAGGCCTGGGGTTGCTGCTCAGTGACGAGTGCCTGCCTGGCCCTCTCTTCAGTCCACAGCATTGCAGAACAGTAATGACAGATGAAAATGTACTGAAAACTAATGGATTGGCAGTTTACAGAGACATAACTTCCCATTGCCTGCTAATTATATCCACGTACAGGAAGCTGGGTTCATATGTTAACTTAGGTTCGTTGGTTCTTAACACACTGTCCTCAAGCATGCCCATGATCCTGCCTCAAAGAACTCAAGACTGAGAGTATTCTTAGAGAAGTTGTTTACAGCAAGTTCCAGGATTCTTGGATCTGGCATTCCAAGAGCCTTGGAATACACTGGAGCACTGGTATTTAGTGAGTCATATATATATATATATATATATATAATAGAAAAAGCATTCAACAAGAGGGTTTAAGTCTTCATCCGCTTACAGTTGGGGTCCCCCAATAGTAACACTGACATGATTTAAGTGCTAATTTTCAACTATTTTACTCAGATACTTTAAGAGGACATTTATGACATGGCTAGGATTGCTGTGGGTTCATGCTGAACTCCTTTGTAAACTGCTATTGGAGAGGCATGGCTATACCACACTAGTGAGTGAACTAGATCCCAAGTCACGGTTTGGGCAGCTGGTTCAGCCTTTGTTTCCTTCCAGAAGTGACAAAGTTCCTGCTAGTTCTGTAGACTTGTAGGTCTCTGGTGATTTTCTTTCTTAGTGAGTCACTCCATTCCACATCACCTGTTAATGAAGTATAGCAATGAGTGATGGCTGTGCGGTGACTGAATGTCTCACTAAAGTGTTTCTGTTCTACCAAAACCTACCTCTTGTGGGCTTCATATTAACATCCCGTTTGCATTCGGATAGGGATTAAGCATATTAGGATGCTCCCAGATTGTTGTAAGTTCTCTCCATGTTAACTCAAGTAGGTGAATGTTACTTGGTAAATTCTCTTGTGCTGTGATGTTTATAGAACTCAGTATATGGAGATTTGTTTCTCTTAAGGCCACTCCATGTCCAAAAGAACAAAACAAAGAAATGATAAACGACGGGGCTTCCTGGACAATCATCAGCACAGATAAGGCCGAGTACACGTTCTATGAGGGGATGGGCCCTGTCCTCGCCCCAGTCACTCCTGTGCCTGTCGTAGAAAGTCTTCAGGTGAGATTGTTTACTTGGAAGGTGACTTTAGTCTTTATTGCTGTTCTTAGCTGTAACTTGCCATAAATTTACTTTCTGTGATGCTGTTTTGTTTTTTGTTTGTTTGTTTTGTTTTGTTTTGTTTTTGCTAAATGTTATGATTTGGGGTTCTTATTATATGTACTATTGATAGAAAATAAAAATAGAAACAGTATGTTTACATTGAAGGAAGCTTAAATTACATTGAATGTTATCTTAAAATAGCTTCAGCTAGCTTTGTAGTCATATCATTTAACAGAGATGTTTTATAAATCTGAGCTTGTTAACTTTCATGAAAATGAGAGCAAGTATATAACCCAAGCTGTGTTCTTCAGTGAAGAGTGAAACCTATCTTAATGTGGTTTCTCTAAATTGCAGTTGAATGGCGGCGGGGACGTAGCAATGCTTGAACTTACAGGACAAAACTTTACTCCAAATTTACGAGTGTGGTTTGGGGATGTAGAAGCCGAAACAATGTACAGGTACTGTAGATCGAGCTGTTCTGTCTGTCACCCAGGGCTTGGGAGGGTGTAGACACCAAGACTGTCCATGCAGAGCTATGTTTGCTTTGAAAGTGCTTCTGAGTGATGTGTATTCCCTCCTCAGATGTGGAGAGAGCATGCTCTGTGTGGTCCCAGACATTTCTGCATTCCGAGAAGGTTGGAGATGGGTCCGGCAGCCAGTCCAGGTTCCAGTAACTTTGGTCCGGAATGATGGAATCATTTACTCCACCAGCCTTACCTTTACCTACACACCAGAACCAGGGCCCAGGCCACACTGCAGCGCAGCAGGAGCAATTCTCAGAGCCAGCTCCAGCCAAGTGCCCACCAGTGAGTCACACACAAACAGCGAGGGGAGTTACACAAATGCCAGCACAAATTCTACCAGTGTCACATCGTCCACAGCAACCGTGGTGTCCTAACTACCGTCTTTTTGCTGGGACTTAAACTGACTTGAATGCGGCAGAAGTTGACAGAAAAAGGCAAGGATAAAGTGAACAGTCTTTGTGGTTTCTGGGGAGACGTTTCATACCAGGTGATCTATTCAAAACTGCAAGTGCAGACGTGAGATGCAGGAGCCACAGTGAGATGAACAACAGCAAAACGTACAGGCTGTTGGAAATCCAGGTTTTCAGCTGTCTCTCACACACCCCTTTTTGGTTGCTTTTGGTTTGGTTTTGATTTAATGGTCAAGAAATAGATTTGTGGCTGGAGTACAGGTTAAGCTAGAAGACAAGACACAAACCTAACATAGTTTTTATGGACCAAGAGACTTGCATAAGCTTTAGTAAAGGTACATTTTCACCATGCCTTTTTTATATCACAGGATGTAGTACACCTTGTTACCAAACAGGTTGCGCTCCCCACCCTTTGAGGGTTGGCTCTAAAGTACATTCAGGTTCGAGCCTGACCATGCTTGTTCAATCTGAGTACCGAACACTTCCAGGTTCTTTTGGTCTAAGGCTGGAACTTTTTTTAAGCTGAAGTCTTATGACTTTTTCATAAGTTGGAATTATTTTGATTTTAGCAAGTCAAATTTTGTAAAGGCCTGCATATTTTTTTTAAGATTATATGAAGTCTGCAAAAGCTTTAAAAATGCCTCTGCCTTGCCTGCAATACATGCAATGTATGTTAACTTAGTCTGTTCTCAGATACTGTTGGTAGTTATTTCTGTGTTTTCCCTTTTTTAAAGGAAATGTATTTATAGTGGTAATCTAAGAGATGCTATCAGCTCAGTGTGGCCATTTAGTCGTTTCTGAGTTCATGGCACTGAACACCACCGTTTGAAGGCTGTGTGCCTCTGCCTGTTCATCAGTTCATCTGTGTTCCAGGATTTGTTCAGGTTTCCCCTTCCCCCAAATCTTGTACATAACTTGTATTATGTGTAAGTTAAACATTTTATCTTTACTTGGAATGTTCCCAGTGATTACATTTAACAGAGTGTTTCCCACCTTGTTGGCAAATGACAAAAAATATCATGAGAATTATTTGCTACCAAGATGGTACCCTTAGGGTAAAATGAGGAAAGTCTCTGCAGGATGATTTATTGTATTTTTTTTTTTTTTTTTTTTTTGCCTAGCCAGAACATCATTATAATTTTAAACATAAGACCATAAGATGGCTTTTATTAGATGATAACTAAATAAACTGAACTAAGTAGCCAGAAGACAGTACCTTAGAGACAGACAGTTGTAAGTTTATAAAAATACAAATGTAACTTATATTTCCATTTTCTTCTTTGCCCCTTTGTTTATTTTTCCCCAGTAGAAATGTTCTGTCCAATTTTATTTTCCTTTTTAGTTAAGCTTTGCTTGCATTCAGGCTTGTGTGTCAGCCTGTGTGCTAATAATATTGCCAGTTTTATTTTCTTTCCATCCCTCCACTTTGGTAACGCCCTGTTCAGTTTCTTGGGAATTGCAGCAGACTCATTGGGCTACATTTAGTGTAAGAACCACATAAATGATGTTAAAGGACACAGTCTAGTGATGCCATCACCTTGAGTAAAAACTACCTCTAGATTGTGGTAAGCTTTTACTGTCCCTTAAAACAGAGCCACTAGTACCTTACAAATGCAGACTGTAACTTCTATGGCATTTCTCAGTGTCTTTCTGGCTCTCTGGCCTTCTGAAAATTTTCTCGTAGACCCTTAGACTCTTCTGTCAGGACCACTGCTCTCCAGCTTTGCTGCTTCCACTCGCCGTCTCATAGACTGTACCACTGTACACACCACTCCGAACGTCTTTAGATGGCTTCCCCCTTGGTTTGTCAAGGAGAAGGCCACCTGTAAAACATGTGGCAGTGACAGCCTTCTTATGCTCCCCGGCCTGCGCTGTACTAGCTGCTATAGCTGACTCTCTTCAGATCAGCTGCAGTCCACCTCCTCCCCGCCTCACCCCTCCAGGCTGTCTCAGTTGTCCAGGGCAGAGCTCACTGTGGCCTTACCTATCTTCGCAGTAACTGTTGACGGTTTTCCTTCAGATCTGCTTCTTTCCAAGCACCACTCCTCAGTCGATGGAAGCAGGAGCCTGTGATCTGCTCACAGTCTGAGCAGTTGGCAGTGCCGCTGTGCTTTCTGAAGTCCTAGATTTAGGATTTAGTAAAGTCGTTAACTGAGAACAGATGAGATGCTTTTGAAGAACAAACTATTCCTTACCAAGCTTTGTAGCTTAAAATAAGTTTTCAAGTTCATGGCTTTATTAAAATGAACTTTGACTTTTTAAAATGCTTATATCTCATTTCGGTTTTTTTGTTTATTTTAGTAAGAATTGAAACAATTAGACTATAAGTCGTTTTTTTCTGTTTTGTTTGTTTGTTTTTTACAAAGTTCAAGAATGTAACAATAAAGGCATTTTCTTATGGTTCTATGTCAGACTCCTACCACAGAATAGTGTGAACAGATATGTCTGTTTTACCATGTTATTGATAGTCCTTTTGTCAGCTGCTCTTATTAAAAGTCCTTTTTGTGGATTTGTAAATCAATTTCAATATATGATGTACAGGAGTCTTGTCCCCAGTTAATGTGTAATGTTCCCTCCCTGTTGATGGTATCACAGAGACTTGTCCTTTACCCTCTTCTTAGAATGGGAATTCTTCAGTGCGGTGTGTGGATGTGTTTTTCCATTCTGTTTAGAGTGAGTCTACAAACATGTCTAAATGCAGAATCTAAGACCCACCATGTATTTTTGCTTTTTGAATTTGTCAAGAGATTGGAATGCAGGCCAGAAACCGAAAATGTGGGATGCCCTTTGTACAATTGCAGAGTCGAACACTAGTGGGGCCTTGAACTTGCTGCTGACCGCTCTTAAACTATGGCAACTTCCTTGTGTGCAGTTAACTAGAACTGCCATCATCAACCTTGACAGTTTTGTTTCTTTTCTGTGTGGTGCTGGGGTCAAATCCAAGGCCTCAAGCTTATTTGCTAAGGCTTTTTGTTTGCTTTTTCATGAGACAAGGGTCTCATCCATCTAGCCCCTCAGGGCATTCTTGAAAGTTCCTGCCTTAGCTTCCAGGTCCTGGGGTGGCAGGTATGGCAAGGTGCCAGTACTGCTTTTATCTTTAGAGAAACTAGTCTGTGTCCAGCCATAGAAATTCCAATGCAATTTTTAATAATCCACTAGTTACTTAATCAAAATCTTTTTGTGGGGAGAGATTCCTGTTTGAAAGAAAATGTTATTTGATTATTAACCAGGTTAACAGAAATTGTTTTCCAAAGCAGCTGTGTTTCTGGTGAGTACTGAACAAATGTGTGATTTTCTGTGTCACTTTTGATTTATTTTTCAAGCACTGTTACTTGGGATGGATGATTAGAAACATAATCTTTTAGTGTTTCTACTTAACCCTTTCAGGACTGAGCTGTATTGCTTTCTATTAGTTTCTCCCTGTGTCGTGATAAATGTTTGCCAGCATTCAGTACTGTGTCGGTCCAGATGTCAGTTTATGTAAAAGCTCAGTTTTAGCTTATTTCTTGTACCTTGCAGCATGCTCTACACATTCAGTCCCTACGGGGTTTACTTTACAAACTGTGCGCCTGTAAGGGTTATTAGCAATAAGATAGAAAATTGAGCAAGTTTATACCATAATTTTGTAGAAAAAGGAATCTGCTCAATTCCATATTTCATCCATGAAAACTCTGCAATACGGGCAGTTTCTAGGAATAAATAAAAAGGAAATGTAAACCATTGTAAATGTCTTCTGTGGAATGTGCTTGATGCATGTATCATCGTCTCTGATTCCAGATACTTCATAAAGATCAAATTAAATCCTATATTATAGTTTGTGGACTAGAATTTTACCTCGTGTTTTATATGACATTGAAGTAGTAATTATGCTAAATTTTCCTTTTAAGTGTTTTTTTAAAATGATTTTTCTTTACTGTGTTAATGATTAGGAGTCGACATCTCCCCAGCCAACCCCAACAAAACTGGAGACTGCTTTCTAGCAAAGGCTTGCTCTTCTAGTACAGGGTTGTCTTTTTGTCTAGAACACCAAAGGATTAACATAACAGCAGTTTATACCTTTGGGGGACTCCCAAAATAGGGCTTATTATACTTCATGTAATGTTAAGACATATAAAGGAAGAAATTATACAGTGTCATGTGTCTGTGGCTACAACAGTGCAGAAGGCAAGCCATGTTACTTTCCACATACAATAACAAGAGTGGTCACAGAGGGCCACATACAATAACATGAGTGGTCACAGAGGGGCGACTCAACAAATAGACAAACACCATATAAATGTACACCACAAAAGAGTTCCTTAAAACAAAAGTTTAGCATAGAAAACAGCTGATATGACACTGTTACATCAAAATGTTCACAAGGGGGCTGACTCACCCCAACCTGGGCTCACACCTAGGGCAGAGTCAAGAGAGAAGAACCCCAGGGACCCTGTTGGATAGTCTAGGAGTAGGATCACTGATCTTCCTGAAGTAGAAGTACTCAGTCCAGACTGAGGTGCTGCTGTGTCTGTGGAGGTAGGAGACATGCCAGATCTTGCTTTCTTAACCAGCTAAGCTGTAAAACATGAAAAGGTTTGCTAAGTCACGTGCATTCTAAATGCAAATAGGTTATCACGCAGCTGTTGGAATTAGTGTTGACTTTGGGGAAGTGACAAAATCCAATGCTCTGTGAACATTTATTGCAAATAGGAGTGGGAGGCAGGTGCAGCATTGATGTCTTTCTGGCTCAACAATTTTGGCCTTGTTTATTGCCTGCTATGCACCCAGGCATCCTTTTTAGTAGTGCTGGACCAATTACTGACTCCAAGCATTTACTGTAGTCCAAAACTGTCTAGCTCCCCTCTGCCTGCTCCTCTCCCCACCCCCACCCCCACACACAGAGGATGTGACTAGGTTGTTAAAGTGCCTTCTTGAACTGGTTTCTCCTGTCACAAACTCTCAACATGGTGTATATTGTGTCAGAGACATAGTGAAGTTTGGGGACATAATTGGAGCTTTCAGGACAGTCGGCATTGAGACAGATGCTCTGGCTAGTGTTGGAACTTCCTGTCCTGAGAGAGCACTGCTAGTTCAGGAATTGTGAGTGTGCTGGTGGCTGATAGAGTCTAAAGAAACGCATGATGTGCTCCTTGGTAAGAGCTGCAGCAAAAGGGGGAAATGTATTTACCTACAAGCGTGGGTGTTCATTTTTTCCTCTCTTGATATATTTTGTTTGGGAGTCTCATATAGCCTGGACTAGTTTCAAACGTACTGTGTAGTTGAGGATGGCTTGAACATCCGACCCTTCTGCCAAATGTAATTACAGGCATCTGCTACCATGCTTGGCTTGCATAGATTTCTCTTCTAGTAACCAGGAAGTTAGACTTGGTTAGGATAAGACTGGGATCTTTAATGCTCTATAATGTTCAGGCCCCAAGCTCAGCTAGGGTTCACTCACCACCAGAAGCTACAAGAATACTGCTACCATGGCAGATTCTGAGTGACATAGACAGCTGTGACATCAGCTGAGTAGCAGTGTTGGAGAGTGGTTCTCACAGCTCAGAAGCAAAAAATCCAAGCTCAAGGAGCCAGCACAGTGGATTCTGGTGAGGGTGTTGTTCTGGCTTGCAGATATCCACGTTGACAGTGCTTTCACACAAGAGAACAGTCACTGGCATCCCCCATGGGGTCTCATTTAACTCTAATTTCTTCTGAAGACTCTTGCCTCCAGATCCACATTTAGCTGTTTAAATAAATTATCTGCCTGCCGAGCCTGCTGATGCCATTTGTTTCTTGCATTTTAAATCCCGGTTGATGTTTCTCATAGAACTCTATGATGATGTGTGATCTTGGCCCAAAAGGACACACCGGGATGCAGAAGTGAGGGGGAAGGGCAGGGATGCAGCTCGGTAGTAGAGTGCTTCCCTAGTGTGCTTGGTCCTTGGCACACTCTAGTACATCGGGGAAAATCTTGGCAGGATAGGTCACATTAATGACCACTTGTAAACTGTGAAGTTACCTTCAACCAGAGGTACATAGGCCGGAATGCCTATTTTAGAGAGGAGACTGCCTGGGGACTCTTAGGAAGTCTGCTCAAGGTCAGATTGAAGTTAGCTTCGGTGTCAGATTTGCATCAAGATCTTCAGAGACACCCTTGAAACACACTAGATTTTCCCATCATAATTGTCAGAGCTAGGGACCTAGGGCTTGGCCCCAGTTGGTGGTGTGGCGAGTTATGCCTTATTTATGGAGATTTCCTGTTCTGTTTCCGCCTTCACATCTCACAGGTGAGGGAACTGACCTAAAGAAGCTGAAGTGTGCTCCATCATTGCAGATTCAAAACTGCGTTGTAAACAAAAAGCGCTGGTCAGTTGTGGTGTCCTGGCCCGTTAATATTTAGTCCCCCTTCCGTATCATATCCATAAATGTATTAGAGAGACTGGTCTTGGGCATTCTGTCCTTAGAAGATAGCAAGCATTCATCAGAAAACAGATACTAACTCGAGGTAGGTGTCCTAAGTTTCTGCATCTCATGTTAGCTTTAGGAAGACCAGGACTCAATGATCCAGAGTATGAAGGAATATCACCTGTGTGCTCAAGAAAAACAAAAGCCTGCCATTCTGCCATTGTTTATTTTCTGCTATTCGTCTAACATAGTGTCACTCTCCACTGAGTTTGACAGTGGTGGAGGAGGTTGAGGGTGGTGTGGTTACTAGGGGAGAGAGTGCACTGAAGATTTAGCTCTGTTCCTGGCCTGTCCTCAATCCGTGCTCTAACCTCAGCCTAGAACCTGCTCTGGCTGTTTGGTTCAAGACTCTGTTTGACTTTAAAAGTAGTGTGACTTTTTTCAGGGCAGATATCTGCTTCTCCCCACCCCCAGCTGTGAGAAAAGAGTGATACTTGGTTTTGCATGCACTAGTACAGATTTTAAAAAGTGACCTCTCAGGAATCACCAATGTGGGTAGAGAAATGGGGTGAATGAACCTCCAGGAGCTGATTGGTTACTTTGAGAGGCTAGAGTTTCCAGAAGGTGTAGGAAGAGCACTGAAGTTGCAGGGAGACTGGGTGTCCTTCAAGTTCAAGTTCTTGAAAATCAGTAGACCAGACAGCCTGAGGAAATGACACACATGCCGAAACAATGCCCATGCCTTCAGCTTTCTCCAGAAATGTCCCTTCTATAGGGCAAGCCCTTGGCTCTGACATGCATTCTCCCCATTGTAGCTGATAGATACAACCATTGAGTGATTAGCCAGGAACAAACTTGGGAAGTCACACTGGTCTTGTTTTTGACAGATGAACTGGACTCAGAAACATGTCATAAGAAAAATGAATGATGGGAGCTGGAGAAATGGCTCAGTGGTTAAGAGCTCTGACTGCTCTTGCAGAGGTCCTGAGTTCAGTTTCTAGCAACCACATGGTGGCTCACAGCCATTTGGAATGGGATTCAGTGCTCACTTCTGGTGTGTCTGAAGACAGCTGCAATGTGCTCATATGAATAAAATAAATAAATCTTTAAAGAAAGAAGAATGAACAACAACGGAGAGCCACCATCCCAATTACCAACCTTTGTCTGAGGCTCTGCTGCCGTTTCTTGGGAGGACTCTTAACTGTATAAAATTACGTAGTGAGACTCCTGGTTTCTACCATTTACACAGCATAAATGGCTATTTGTAGAACTGGCTTATTTCTAAGCAGTACCACCACCAGGTACTTCAGATCTAGCCAGCAATACAGTAGATCCTCGATTGACATGGTTGTCTCCTGGGGAAACAGGCAAAGTGTTTCTACTGGAAAAAGACAGTATATAACTTAAGTGCTGTAGTCACTTATTGGGGTATAAAGGAGAAATGATAAAGTTGCACTATCAAAAGTCTTTCAAGGGGCTGGAAAGAAAGCCCAGGGGTTAAGAACACTAGCTGTTCTTCCAGAGGTCCTGAGTTCAGTTCGATTCCCAGCAGCCACATGGTGGCTCACAGCCATCTATAATGAGATCTGGTAGCCTCTTCTGATTTGCGGGTATGCATATACGCAGAACACTATATACATAATAAATAAGTCTCTAAAAAGGAAAAAGTTTTTTTTTAAAAAGAAGTCTTCTCGCACCTTGGGGTAGATGTGACTGAGAATTAGTGTTGTCTGCTGGTGTTATGATAAGGAGAAGATGGGAGGAACCAGAAGTTTCTGAGTGAGAGTAGGAAGTACAGAGCAGGTGGGGCAACAGCGGGAACCAACGCTTGCAGTTAACTCATAAGGCAGGTCGGTTTGAGCTCTGATGTCTGCTGGCATGCACACTAGGAGGTGGTCACCTCATATTATGGTTTGAAGCCATAATTCTGATGGGACTGGAAAAAGAGGTTCTACTTTCAGCCCTGTGTTGCCTGCCAGAGAAGACTTCTCCATCGTGTGTAGAGGAGCTTCCAGGAGGGGCAGTTCATAGTGTACACTGATCTTCAGTGTGAGCCATAGTGCTTCAGGCAGTTTGTAAGATTCATGTGGTGTTGATGACGTGCATAGGACTAAGCTTGCACATTATTCAGGAAAATAGCTATAGTGAAGTTGCTTGAACTAACACAGAAATACCCTGATTCATTACACATTTGATTGTGAAGTAAGTTTTGTTTGTACGTTCAGAAACCTTTTCCTCTCACCAAGTTTTTCACCACCGTCCACATCTGACCCCATATGGGTCTGCCTCCCACAGTTAAGTGCTTGTATTCTAGATGCTGTACGTATACTCCCATCTATCTGTCATAGTAACAAATGACAGCTCTGCTTGCCTGTGCCCTTGTTCTCGTTCCTCTCCTTCCCTCCCCCCACAGTTAAGACATTTTTTTTGTTTAAATCTTTAGT